CCCCCCCCCCCCCCCACTGTGCTGTGGTGGAGACCTGGTTATGGGAACTCAAGCGGTCGGCTTTTCCACGCCTAGACTGTTTCGACAGCGCAGTGCTTCAAGAAGAAGCAGTGTGTATGTGGGGGGTGTGTGGGGGGGGGGGGGGGGGGGGGGGGTGCATGCTGTTAACATTTTTTTGGTGACACCAACCCTACTGATGCCACTGCTGTATAGGAATAATTTTTTATAATATATAACCCTTTAAGTCTAAGAATTATACAACGACCCTGGAAAAAAATTCTTATAAATAAATAGTGGTTATATCTTGTTAACTTTTCTCTTGTTTCTTGCATTTACATCTCAGGAACAAAATAGTTCTCGATATTACTTGGAAAGTACATTTTTTTTGTTTGTAGAGTAATATTTTTATTTAACCCCAGAACAACCCATTTGGTGAGCATTAATATCAAAATAAAATCCCTTGCTGTCTTATGACGATTTTCTTTATCTATTATGTTTATTTTTATTATTGTAGAAAAATCTCTTAAATTTTGTCTGTGTACATTACAGGTGAACAAATAGAACTTATTGTAACAATGCATTCTTTTTTTAAATTTTTTACCTATGACCTATTTATAATTGACCTATTTATAATTGACCTAATTATTTGATTCTTACTTTCTGGGGGTTTAAAATAGGTCAGATTTTAAAAAAAAAACGTTTTGCTGAAAGAACTTAATAAATAAATTGTTTATTATCTTGGCTGGGCTTATGTTTTTTTTATGTTATTATTTTTGGCGTACGTTTTTGCTATACTTGACATAAATCATACAAGTATGGCCTCTATCATACAAGTATATGTGTATGATATAATCATACAAGTATGGCCTCTATCATACAAGTATATGTGTATGATATAATCATACAAGTATGGCCTCTATCATACAAGTATATGTGTATGATATAATCATACAAGTATGGCCTCTTTCATACAAGTATATGTGTATGATATAATCATACAAGTATGGCCTCTATCATACAAGTATATGTGTATGATATAATCATACAAGTATGGCCTCTATCATACAAGTATATGTGTATGATATAATCATACAAGTATGGCCTCTATCATACAAGTATATGTGTATGATACAATCATATAAGTAATGGCTATGTGTTTATCAAACAAGAATAAATGTATGATACAAGTTAAATTATTGCATTAGTTTTTATGTGGTAATAAATATTTAAAAAATCATCAAATACTAACAGGTTATGTTTTGTCCCATTGACTTTGTGAATCCTAGCTACTTTGTGAACCCTAGCTACTTTGTGAATCCTAGCTACTTGTGAATCCTAGCTACTTTGTGAATCCTAGCTACTTTGTGAATCCTAGCTTTTGTGAATCCTAGCTGTTAATTTGTGTAGTTTAAGTTAATACATAAAGTATGAATTCTTTTGTATGATTGTATGATAAGACAATATGTTGTAGGTATGATATAACACTGGTAAGAGAAAGTTTGCTAAGAAGTAACTAACAAGGACCTTGTGACAAACATTCCAAAAATAGCTAGGCCTAATGTCAAGTAGAATAAATTATTTTGTAAAACATGTAAATAGCCTGACCATCCCACACAACATTTGTTTGAAAACCAACTATTTGTATTAAGGAAGCGGAAAATTAATTTCTACACATGGCTGCGCTGTGTCCAGGTGTACTTAGGTGGTGATATGTTATTACCACAGTGTTCAAATTTTCATGAAGACACTTACTGACCTGTCACCTGTTCCCCATATTTCTGTATCAAATTTTCTTAACTAGAAATGCAGAACTGAAACAAAAAGAATACAAAATAAATAGTCTAGGCTTACACAAAATGTGCCCAAATGTTGTTTAAATAAAGAAGGCAAAGTCAGCAGGCAAGGTAAAATATGTTTAATAATTATTATTATAGTAACAATGAAGATAATAATAAGCTTAATTTGTATTACACAGTCTAGGAATAAGACACATTGATGACATCACAGGACACAGTATGAACTTGAAGGTGATGACATGGCTACTAAAGCTGTCTAGCTATTGGTCCATTCGTTCACATGACTTTTTCAAACATCCAATCATGTGACTAGTATTACAATGCTTAACAAATTTTCCAATGGATGTTTTTAAAACTCGCCTTGTACCAGTGCACCTCTGGTGATGTGCCCCCCCCCAACCACTTTTTGGACACTATAACTGTCAATCAATCCTATGTGGGCCCCAACTGTCAACAAAAATTTAGAGGCCCACCCTAAAACGATACAAGACTTCACCAGGCCCTAAAAGCTACCATGTTCTGTAAAGTACTACCAGTCCCAACCCTTCCCCCCTGAACTCTTTGGCTCAGCTTTTGCCGATTAATTATTTTCCCTTTTTCTGTACTGTTATTGTTAATTTGAGAACCATTGCAACACTAAAGTCAACAGTCACACCTACTTTCTTGTTTGTTTCAAATGTTCCAGAATCCAAGATCTCGAACCACTACATTCATAGCTAACTCAGCTCTGACCCCTACATTTATACCTTACTCAACTCTGACCCCAAAATTTATAGCTAACTCAACTCTGACCACTACATTCATAGCTAACTCAACTCTGACCACTACATTCATAGCTAACTCAACTCTGACCACTACATTCATAGCTAACTCAACTCTGACCACTACATTCATAGCTAACTCAACTCTGACCACTACATTCATAGCTAACTCAACTCTGACCACTACATTCATAGCTAACTCAACTCTGACCACTACATTCATAGCTAACTCAACTCTGACCACTACATTCATAGCTAACTCAACTCTGACCACTACATTCATAGCTAACTCAACTCTGACCACTACATTCATAGCTAACTCAACTCTGACCACTACATTCATAGCTAACTCAACTCTGACCACTACATTCATAGCTAACTCAACTCTGAACACCACATTCATAGCTAACTCAACTCTGACCCCTACATTTATAGCTAACTCAACTCTGACCACTACATTTATAGCTAACTGAATTCTGACCCCTACATTTATAGCTAACTCAACTCTGACCACTACATTCATAGCTAACTCAACTCTGACCACTACATTCATAGCTAACTCAACTCTGACCCCTACATTTATAGCTAACTCAACTCTGACCCCTACATTTATAGCTAACTCAACTCTGAACACCACATTCATAGCTAACTCAACTCTGACCCCTACATTTATAGCTAATTCAACTCTGACCACTACATTTATAGCTAACTCAACTCTGACCCCTACATTTATACCTAACTCAACTCTGACCCCTACATTTATACCTAACTCAACTCTGACCCCTACATTTATACCTAACTCAACTCTGACCCCTACATTTATACCTAACTCAACTCTGACCCCTACATTTATACCTAACTCAACTCTGACCCCTACATTTATACCTAACTCAACTCTGACCCCTACATTTATACCTAACTCAACTCTGACCCCTACATTTATACCTAACTCAACTCTGACCCCTACATTTATACCTAACTCAACTCTGACCCCTACATTTATACCTAACTCAACTCTGACCCCTACATTTATACCTAACTCAAGACACAACATTCTGATCATGGTCCAACCTACAATTGTTGTGTTGCGCTGCATGTTGTCATGACTCGAGAAGTTCAGTAGACACTCTTATAGGAAATATTATATTATAGTTATATTATATTTCAGCTACTGCACCCTATTTGATGCCAGGGCAGGGGACCTCTGATGTTGGTCAGTTACATCACCCCTACTGATACCACAAATAACTGTGTGGCTAATAAATAAAACAAAACATTTTGAAACTCATCCAACCATGAACATCTTCACTTTTCATGTGCGCTCTGTCATTTAAATGTCACCTCGCTCATGTGTGCTCTGTCATTTAAATGTCACCTCTTTCATAATGTGCGCTCTGTCATTTAAATGTCACCTCTTTCACAATCTGTGCTCTGTCATTTAAATGTCACCTCTTTCATGTGCGCCCTGTCATTTAAATGTCACCTCTTTCATGTGTGCTGTCATTTAAATGTCTCCACTCACTAGTCTCAGTTCTATATTATTCGTCAAGACAACACTTGAGTAAAAAGAATTCAGCCATTCTGAAATCTCTGACAAAATAGCATGACAGTACAGTACAGTACAGTACACAATTGAAATGGATGTGCATGTACACATTTATGTTTTTTAAACAAATGTCAATTTTTGTACATAATATATTTTTTTAAAATAAACAAATAGTAGTTTAAAAAAAAGAAAGAAATGTAAAAAATGAACCCGGTCTATCTATTAAACTGTTCACGAACAAAGTTCACTTACAATCTTGAGATATAATTCTAGATTCATGAACAAAATGATTACATAGCGTTCTTGCCTTTAATCTAATATACAACAATGAATGAATCCTATTTTTAGAATGTTCTAGTTCACATTTTATTCCTTCACAAGTCATGGAAATTATTTGTAAGGCAAAAAGTTCAATTTATTGATGAACAAATATATTTTAATGAACATCTGTCAAGTATTGGGAGTTTCAATGTGAGATTTAAGTGTAACCATAAAATGAACTTATGTCAATTAATTGGTGAGTAAACACACAAGTTCAGATGGCCATGAACAAGTTATCTATGCGATACCAATGGTGTGTCATGTGATCTGAGTAGGATGGCTAGAATCAAAATATTCAATGTTAAAGCAAATTTACCTCTGAAAAGGGCATGCAATTTTAGAGCAAAAAA